GAGGAGTCATGGTACATCGACTCAATGTCGACGAGAGTTGTAAGCCAGAGGAGTCTCGGGTCCGACCCAGCCGAGCACATCTCTGCTCTGATCCGACCACTACTCGGCACCGACCAGGTGCAATGAGGCACAAATCTACATTAATCGACAGATTTTGAAAGCAGAATCTACATTAATCGACAAATTTGGAAATAACAATTAAACACTCTCAACACGGCCAAACCAGAAGCGGGTCGATTGACCTAACACAGTTAAAACATGAGATGGAGTAAAAACGACAACGGGTATAAAACCAGTGGCTATGGCCAAAGAGTTAGAAACCTATGAAAATGAAAGCAACAAAGTCAACTCCATCAACGAAGTCGAATATGAAGCTCTACTAGCAGGACTAAAAGTGGTCAAGTACGTTGGGGTCAGGAACATACTGATACTAAGTGATTCACAGCTGATTGTAGATCAGGTGAAAGAGGAGTTCCAGGCTAGAGAACCGCGAATAGCGAAATACCTTTCACAGGTAAGAAACCAACTCGACCAGTTCTCAAAATAAGAGATTCGACAAATTCCACGTGCTCAAAACGTCAACTTCGATGCGTTAGCTCGACTAGCTGCAGCTTATGAAACCGGCCTAGGCAGAACTGTATCGCTCGAGATTCTACCCGAGCCAAGCATAGAAGCTCAGGAAGCAATGGATATTGACGAGCAAGGGCAACTAGAAGAAAACTGGGATAGCCCTTTGATCAAATATTTGAGAGACGAGATCCTGCCTACTGAAAAGATAGAGGCCCAGCAGCTACAATGACGAGCAGCCAGATATGTGATTAAAGACGACAATCTGTACAAAAGAGGCTACTCATTGCCGCTTTTAAAATATCTAACATCCGACGAAGCTGACTACGTCATGAGAGAGATACATGAGGGTGTTTGTGGGAACCATTCTGAAACACAATCCATAAGTCACAAAATAGTTCGACAAGGGTACTACTGGCCGACCATGCTGAACGACACGAAGCAATTCACCAAAAAATGCGACAAATGCCAACGATTTGCAACAGTACCTAGACAACCACTAGAGCCTCTAACAAGTATAATGAGTCCTTGGCCCTTTGCTCAGTGGGGAATAGACCTTATAGGGCCTCTCCCACTAGGAAAGGGCCAGACCAAATTTGCAGTAGTGGCAGTCGACTATTTTACTAAATGGGCCGAAGCCAAAGCCCTAGCTACAATTACTGAGAAAAAGGTCACCGACTTCATCTGGAAGAACATAATTTACCGCTTCAGAATACCCTACACCATTATCAATGATAATGGAAAGCAGTTCGACACTGCTGCCTTTCGAGAATTTTGTAAGGAGTTGGGCATTAAGCACATCTGTTCCTCGCCAGCACATCCGCAGGCTAATGGGCAGGTTGAAGCAGTCAACAAAATCATCAAAAGAACTCTGAAGACCAGATTAGAAAAGCTCAAAGGGTTGTGGGCAGAGGAACTTCCCAATGCATTATGGGCTTACAGAACAACACCTTGTACTTTGACAGGAGAAACGCCATTTTCATTATCATTTGGCTCTGAAGCGGTAGTGCTAGTCGAAATTGGACTCCCCTCCCCAAGGGTAGAGCAGTTCAGTCTACTTGACAACAACGCATCCGTAAAGCTCAACCTCGACCTATTAGAAGAACATCGAGAAACAACACGGCTACGAATGGCTAAATACAAAATCGAATAACTCGATACTACAACTCGAAGGTTAAGAAACGTGACTTTAAAGTAGGTGATCTGGTGTTAAAAAAGATTATGCCCAATACTAAAGATTCAACTAGCGGTGCGTTCGGGCCGACATGAGAGGGCCCATACAAAGTCACTAAAGTGGTGTGAATAGGCACTTATGCTTTAGAAGACCAATGGGGGAAGGCCTTACTACACCCATGGCACGCTCAACACCTCAAAAGATACTACCACTAGTTCGACATATTTCTGGACATTTTTATGTTTTTCCATTATTTGGACAAACTAAGGTTATTTAACTAAATCTTCGACAGGACGATCTTCCTACTAATAAAGTATTTGACATTCGACGTGATACTGAGTTTTTATGTTCATTCTGAAATAAATTTCTCAAGCAGGAGGCATCATATGAATATCTACATATCTACGACCTGAATATCTATATATCTACGACCAATCAAGAAACTCAAAATTGGGACGGACCTAGAAGGAGACCGATAAGCTAAAATCCAATCAGTGAAACCAGGGAAAAGAATCTCGAGGTGCTGAAAAAGGCATGCGTACAGGCTCAGCAAGGTTAAAACAGAAAATAGGCAAGTCTAACCGATCAATGAAACCCACGGGTAGAAAATCATATGGCAAAAGCCAAAATAGGTTAAAAATCCGAGGGTGTTGATTTAACTTGGGGTAAAAATCGACAGAAGCCAAATATGTTAGAAACTTAAGGGTGCCGACTAAACTCAAGGTATAAACGCCATTGGCAAAAGCCAAGTGGGTTAGAAACCCGAGAGTAAACGCTAAGGTATAAAACATAGGCAAACACCAAATAGGTTAGAAACCCAAAGGTATTGACATTAGTTCTGTTAAAGTTAGATCCCAAGGCCAAAAGTAAATGGTTTAAACTTAGATGAGAATAAAACTAGGCTCAGGAGACTTGATTGTGGTCAATGAAAATTGGAAAAAAACTTCCAATTCATGAATAGTATCGACAAGTTCAAGGCATAAAACCAGTGGCAGAAACCAAGCACTAAAATCCAAAATTGGATCCAAAGCTTTTGGTAGAAGCCCTGTGCGTTAGCAACCTTCACATTATTAGCCACTGATATACAATTATCTCGTGGTAATGACAAGCGATAAGTACTCTCAAAACAAAGATCTTGACACAATTATTCGTCTTCTGTTTTGAGAGTGGGGGCCATTGTTATGGAGAACAAAAACGACTCGAAACGGGACAAGAAGTTGAAGCCTGAGATCATCGATTGGGGGAGACCGGCCTGTGACGTAAAGGGTCGGCCCAAAGAACAACCTAGCGCCGGGGCAGAGAACGAGGAAAGCGACCGGCGGAGAACTAACCGGGCCAAGAGGGCTCGGTCCCGACCCCTACTCGTTCCCAACCCCTTCTCGGTCCCGACCACTTCTCGATCCCGACCCCTGCTCGGTCCACGGTCCAGCCCATGAATCTCCCGCCTACGATCTACGATCCCTCGTGCCCTGCAACGCCGAATTAGGGTTTGACTACGGAGGTTCTGGAATCATCTTCACGGCTATAAGTAGTAGTGAGATCCAACCCTGAAGAGGCAAGTGACTTATCCTTAGCTAACTATAGCTCATGTGACTAAGGTCACACCGGTTTAGATCGGTTTGATTTTGTAGGTATCGGTTCCCTTATCATCGAGTTAGGTGTGTGCGAGAAGAAAAGTCGGAGGGTCAAAATCCATGCATCAACAAAATTTATTGGCACAAGTTCCATCACCCGCTTCTTGTATCTTCATTTGACACCATGAATAGAGCTTCTTTCCATCTTTAATCATCTTCCTGATCTACATTAATTGAGCTCACTATTGTTTGGACGCGAGTGTCGAAGGTTCATGAACGAATGATTAGTCCTGGAGGCAAGGCTAAAACATCTTGGTTCATGTCATTAACTTTCACTCTACTTTTGTTGAAAGATTGATATTATTGTCTCTAAGGGATAGCTTGGGTGGCTTAGGACCTCAAGGAATAACCTTACTTCTACCAAGCGATGACTCATTTCTCAGCTCACGGCAAACACTTTAGCACAATAGTAAATAACATCTATGTTATAGAACGAGTGAAAGTAGCTTTTATAAGCTTACTTTTCAAAAACTGTTGAAAACATGAAACATTATCAAATGACATCTTAAGAGTTCGAATGAGCATCCTCGATATTTAAGACATCTACTCCCTAGAGATTGGAGGTTTAAATTCTCAAACCTACCGTTGAAGGTGATTTCTCACCAGCCACGTGTCGATATATAATATGCTCAATAGTGATGGTTTAACACAATGACTCACATACGAAAGAAATTGTAGCTCTGACATTCATAAAGATCGAGCCGAACTACTAGCTAGGATGGTCGTGACCCATGTTTCATGTCGAGCCGATCATGGTCTCACATCTTGGCAGCTTGAGATATCAGCCGAGCAGACCAACAACCACTTGTACCATGGTCGCTTGAGTTATCAACCGAGCCAACCTATGCTTACTTCTACAGGCGCAAACTTCCAACAGAATCTACAACACGCCGTGATTCTCAGGGTGTCGGAGAGCTGTTGAAGTCTTGTCAAAAGTCTTGTCGTAAACCCCACCAATAAATAGAGACCTCTCGCCTCATTTTCAAGTATGCGAAACTATATTCTCTCTGATCTTGAGTATAGATCGACCAACTACTGACTTGAGCATCTGATGCTTACTCTGTTTTGCAAGTCCTTCACCTGCATTCACTTCAGCTCATTTTAATAGTTAGCTCGTTGTTGCTGACCTCCACAAACTTGGTCAATTTCTTGATCAAACACTTACTAAACAGAAATTCTAAAGAAATTCTTTATTTATTAAAGAACATAGACTTTTTAATTTTTCTTTAAATTTGTGATCTTTTAGTCGAAGCTACATATCTTAACTAGTTGAATTACGTTATATTCATATCGGTAAATCTTAATCATAAAAAACATAGGAAAGTAATTTTCATATTCTCCCCCTCTACATTCTTTTGACAAATATATTGGACTTTGGACTTTGGACCATGTTGATTGCTTTTAAAAGTTTAAAGTAGAGTGAAGAAAAATTATAGAAAAATGGAGATATAATATATGGCCATTTGTTTGTTTCCTAAGAAAACGACAGAAAATTTTGACCCCAACAGCGTAAGACTCTGAATTTGTACTAAACTGCCAAATTTGAACAAAAAAAGTTAGCACTTCCATCAAACTAAAATCCATCCCAAAACTACATGATCATTAAGGGGCTAATTGTCATTGAAATTATAAACTATATTTTGTTTAATGTTTACTCTAAATTATTTATAAAAGATTAAGATTTTTTTAATAAACAATTGTATCGTATAAATGTTAATTCACATTTAAATAAGGGTAAGACAAAATAAGTTATATTAAATTAAATAAAAGGTAGAACCAAAAAATTAAATTTTCTAAAAATTAATGATATAGATTGACTGCGAACCCAGTTTGAAAAGCTCTAATTTAGTTTAATTGTTTTTTTTTTGATAAAAATATTTTAGTTTAATTGTTGTGATCAAATCTTATGTCAGGAAATGTAATAGGTTTCTTGTGGACTAAATTATAAGTAGAGTAATATATTAAAAATTAGATTTAAATATTATTTTGGACCATGTATTTATTTATTTATTTTTGTCATTGTAGCCTCTGTTATTTAACTATTGTAGTTTTAAAACGTTTGTTATGATTCCTATTTGCGAAATTTTAACACAAATAATTTTCACAATAAAAACACTTTAATATAAATACATAGCTACATTATTGAAGAAGTTCAAGGAGTGAATCGTCTTTCTAGAATTATGAGAAAAAGAAAGGATATAAAAATAATACGAATGGATTAAAATGTTTATTTTTTAAAAGTATAGAGGGTAAAATGAACATTTCAAAAATATAATTATTAAGGCCTACCTAACCAATTCAATTTTCTGTTTTTTGTTTTTCAAAAATCATTTTGAAATTTTATGTAAATTTAAAAATAGATTTTTATTTTTCAAAATCTGATTTTTTCTTCTAATATTCACTTTTTTCTTTTTCATATTTATCCCTACAAAATTTCTTTATCCCTCTATCTTTTTTCCCTAAATTTCTCTTTATTCCTCTAAAATTTTTATATTTTGAATACTTATTATTATTTGTTTCTTTTTCTCCAAAATTTTCATCGCTATGTATTTGTATTTTTTTTTCATTTCTCCTCTTGAAAATTTAATATTTTTCTGAACCTTTTTATCTTTAAAATTTCGTCTTTTTTATTACTTTTTTTCTCTTCCTAATATATTTTTTCTCTAAAAACTATATCTTCTTTTCTCTCGTTCAAATAACTTTTATTTCTCTCCATATTTATTTATTTTCTCTAAAAATTATTATTTTGAATCTTATTTTCATCTCTAAATTTTTTTCCACTGTAATTATTCTCTTTCTTTATAATTTTTTTTCTTTAACATATCTTTTCCTCACCACCCTACTTTTTTTTCTCTGTGTCTTTAACTTTTCTTTTACTATTTTTTTCTAAATCATTTTATTTATCTCTCTAAAGGTTATCATCCAAAAGTTTGTTTACAACTCTCTAAACTTGTATTTTCAGGTCTCTGACTCTCTTAGAGATGATAAAAATTTGCGCAGGGTCGGCTCTACTCCAAGAATAGGATCGACCCTGTCCTGATTCCATTTTTTAAATAATTAATATTTATTTATTATTTTTTTATTTTTGAATTCTAAAAAATAATTAAAATTAATTATAAAACCGATAAATTTTTTCGAGAGCATCCCTCGAACCAAAGAACGAGAACGAGGTGAAGAAAAAACCCAAAACAGTTATCAAATATGTTTGGTTTTCTATTTTTTAAAAACAGTTGTTTTGTTTTCTATTTTTTTAAAACAGTTGAAATTAATAGACAATAATAAAGATTTTGGAAGCAGGACCAAAATTAAAACCAAAATAGTATTTAGAAAAAAAAACCTATTTGAAAATATCATTTATTACTTTTCTACATAAATTGCAATGTAACACAATTAAATTAAATTAAGTCAAACTATAAAAAACAAATAATACTACAAACAATAAAATGCCAAAATTGTGTTTTTTTCTTTTTAAAAAATTTGTTTTCTGCAGAACAATGTTTTACATAAAATCTTATTTTTTATTTTCTAAAAAATCGTGGATTTTTTATTTTTAAATAATACTTATTTTCAAATATATTTGCACAATAATGCTGGGAACATATTAAATGTATAATATGTTTGTTGAAACTTATTAAAAAGATAATGCTTTTGAGATTCTTTTCCCACTTGATCGTCTATTAGAAAGACGTACGATTACAAAATTTTCAGCATTTAATCATCTCTCGGACAATTATAAGACGTGACACTCTRTTGGTGCTACTGTCTGATTTAAAAACATAAATATATATCAAAATACAGCCGCCTCTTTTTCAATAGGCATTTGTGGTCGTCTCTTCAAGATTCCTTGTATATCGATGTTGATTCTTTTTAGAAAAAGTAAAATATTAATCATATTATATATGCATAATATTTTCAAGTTAATATTTGGTAAAGTGAATGTAGCACCCATTTGACTTCCTTGCACCCTTATCCTTTGATGTAGTTTATGCATTTTTATTTTGTATGTTAATCAAAATTTTTATATTTGGAAATATTTGTTGAGTTTTCGAGAGGTATATAGACGAAATAATTATCTCCATTCTCCGTACTAAGACTTTGAGTAAAATTAAACTTGTGAGAATGTCCGCTATTGTCATTTATCTTGCAAATAAATTTGAAAATAAGCATTATTTAAAAGAAAAAAAATCCAAAAAGTGGTTGGCTTGGCAAACATGCTCTGCGTTATTTAATTTTTATTTATTAACAAAACCACTTTTTTTATAAAGCATTTGGCAAAACGATAAACCAAAAAAGTAAAAAAAAAATTCAGAAGAACACACGGTTGTTAGAAATTCGCAAAACCAGAATGTTGCAGTGATCAGTGATTTCTTTCTTTCTTTTTGACTTTGTTGGACTCCATGGATTCAATCAAATGGCCGATAATCGCATCAGAATTCCACAGCCGGAAGCCTTATCTTCTCTGAATTGACCAGCTTTCAGAGATCGAAGAAGATGATAAAACAAAAAAGGGTCCAAAAAGTTTTAGGCCAAAATGTGGGGCCGTGGCCTGACCGCCATTAGTGCAAATTTCTCCACCTTCGCCCACTGGACCCCTCCAACCATCCCCCACTGCTCCATTCTTTATTATACTATCGGCCAAAGCTTCCTCCATTTTCCCAGTCAAAGTCTCTCAACTCCTTCCCCCCCATCTCTCTCTTTCTTCAAAGATTCCTCCACAATTCCACCATCTTAAATATTTCTGAGCTCCGAGTCTCTGCACCCAACTGGTAATTGAATCCGCTCCCTCCCCTGTTCATGGGTTTTGGGGATTTTTTGTTTTCCTTTCGGTTTTGTTGTGCTGTGAGAAAACTTGAGTTCTGAAGTTGCGATTGCATGCAAGGGTTTGTTGGGTTTTGTTTCTTTTCCCTCATTGTGAGTGATTTCCTCTTTCTGAGCATGTAAATCTACATTTTCGAACTCGGATCTGCAAGTTATTGCTCTTCAGTTTGGTTTATTGTCGGAATTTTTTGATCTGAGCCGCTGAATTTTGTTGTTCGCAGGAAGGAAACTGGTAAGGCTGTGGGATTTTGGGCCTGTTCCATGGGGATTTGCTTGAGCTCCAGAATTAAAGCTGTTAGCACATGCAGTACAGGTAGAGCTCTGAAGCCATGGAAATGAGTATCATGCCTAATGAGTTTTAAGTTAAATTGTTCATTTCTTTGTTCTTCTCGCTCTTCCTCCCTCGTTCGTTTGCCTAACAAGTTGAGTTTCAGTTTCCATTTTTTAGACATTTGATATAATGTCTATAATATGTCAGTTTTTCGCTTTTAATCTCTTACCTTTAGCATTTTTCGAAAGAAATTTTGGGGCTTAAATGATTAAGATCTGTGACCCAACTGATCAGAAGAAAAGTTAATTATATGTCTCATGTCTTATGTCTGAATTTAGCTACAATGGGATTGGAATTGTATGGAATTGAAGGTTTGCTTCTTACTTCTATGGCTTAAATGATTGCGATCTGTGATACAACTGATCAGAACAAAACTTAACAATATTGTGTCGAAATTTAGACAAGGAGGTTGGAATTGTATGCAATTGAAGGTTTGCTTCTAAAGAAAGGGAAAAAAAAAATATATGATTGATTGTTTAAACTTTAAATTGAAACATGAAACGTTGGTTTTGGTTGTTCCGTTCACTCTGTATTGAGTTTTTGATGCGTTCTTTCCCATTTGGGTTGCATTTATTCACTGGACGCCCACCAGCTATACACTTTTGTGGTGGGAATTGGGATATTCTTGTTCTTTTGTGGGTTTTTCGGTATTGAAATTGAGGAATTAAGTTCTGTAAACACTTCAAATCGTATATGCGACTTGATTTGACCATAATAGTTGACGTTCTGGTAGAGATATCTAACATCTAAGTTATGCAGGAGGAACCTCAAACGGCGTTAGCAGGGATGCAACTGATCTCTCTAGTTCAAGCAGCAACAGCAAGTTCTCATCAATGTCAATTCCTCGGAGCGAGGATGAGATCTTGCAATCCTCAAATCTGAAGAGTTTCAGTTTTGCAGAACTTAAACTGGCAACTAAGAATTTCCGTCCTGATAGTTTGTTAGGGGAAGGTGGGTTTGGTTCGGTTTATAAAGGTTGGATTGACGAGCATTCACTCGCTGCTGCCAAGCCAGGGTCCGGCATGGTTGTTGCGGTGAAAAGGCTTAACCTAGATGGTTTCCAAGGTCACAAGGAGTGGCTGGTAAGTCAATTTTCTTCCCTGTACAAAATTCAGCCTGCCTATGAATTCTGCTTTGTCTTTGACTTCAACAAAGTAGGCTTACAATCCACTTACCCTTTAGATTCTTCGATATTGTAGGCTGAAGTCAATTTTCTGGGCCAACTTCATCATTCTCACCTAGTGAAACTGATAGGCTATGGTTTGGAAGACGAACATCGGTTACTGGTGTACGAATTCCTTACCCGAGGCAGCTTGGAAAATCATTTGTTTAGGAGTGAGTTCTTATCTCTGATCTCTGGTTAGGCAAAGAGTTTCCATCGTTCTGGAGTGCCGATTTATTCATTATCGTAACTTTTTCTTTCAGGGGGGTTGTATTTTCAACCTCTTTCTTGGAGTCTTCGCATGAAGATCGCTCTAGGCGCTGCGAAGGGTCTGGCTTTTCTTCACAGTGATGAAAATAAAGTGATCTATCGCGATTTCAAGACATCAAATATACTACTTGATTCGGTAAGTAGTTTTGTTACAGTGTGGCATGATAGGTTTTCAGTTTTTGGCCGTCTTTCTGAAGGGTTCATTCTATGATATGGTTACAGAACTACAATGCTAAGCTTTCTGATTTCGGGCTTGCTAAGGATGGACCTACGGGCGACAAAAGTCACGTCTCGACCAGAATCATGGGGACGTATGGATATGCAGCTCCTGAGTATCTAGCCACAGGTAATATCCAGCTAATGAATGCGTCGATTTACCTGTTCTAAAGAGGAAAAAGAATCTTTGTTATGATCTCTTCTGATCTCTTGTTCCATCGGACTGTTAGGTCACTTAAGTGCCAAAAGTGATGTGTATAGTTTCGGGGTTGTTCTGTTGGAGATGTTGTCTGGTCGAAGAGCTATTGACAAGAATCGACCACCGGGGGAACAGAATCTGGTCGARTGGGCCAAACCGTTCCTTGCAAATAAACGCAAGACTTTTCGTTTACTCGACGGACGAATCGAACGCAACTACTCCATGGATTCAGCTTTCAGAGTAGCAATCCTTGCATCACGTTGCCTATCTGTAGAACCCAAGTTCAGGCCGAGCATGAACGAAATTGTAACAACATTGAAGGATCTCCAGGATTCCAAAGGAACTGGGGCTCCCGGGAACAGAAGATCCAGGACTTGTAAGCAAACCTCAGGCAATGGTAATAACACACATGCCGAGGTCGCTGCTTACCCTAGACCATCTGCTTCTGCCCTCTTTACATAAGATCGGGTTCAGAAGAACATAGCGGAAAATCGTGGAGATTGGAGGAACAAAATGCGGATTAGGCAGGCTCGAACGRTTGTATAGCTCTTAATAGTTCTTTTTTTCCACTGATGTATTCTTACACTACATTGGTACATGAGAAATAGGTAGCAAGTTGAAAATGCTGCTGCTGTAGTAGTGATGGGTATAGCTATTTTATTTTGTGTTTCAGTTTTGGAATGCTTTTTCTTCTTTTTCAGATTTCTGTCAGGTGGGATCTGTTTTTTTTTTTTTTTTTGAGTTTTTTGTAAAATTAATAGTTAAATTAATGAAAGAGAATCTCAAAAGTGTTATATTCTTTAATGCAAATCATAAATTTGTATTAAAGAGTTTCTATTGTATATAAAATTTGTGTGTTACCATTTTATAAAGAAATTTTACGGTTTTATAAAGATCAAAATGGGTCACGTTTTAAAAAGTTGAGCTTGGAATAAGAAAGAAGCGTTTAACTACCAACGCTGGGGCTGGCGGCAACAAGTAAACCTATGTTTAAAAAACAAGTAGATTACAGACCATTTGAAAATATTTTTTAAAAAATAGACAACAGCACAATAAAATAGGTGGGTGAATAAAAGGAGCCTCTTTGGCCCTGTTTGACATATTTGTTTTCAAAAAGTATTTTCGGATTCTACGATCAAAATGTTGGAAATTCTAAAAATAAAGTTAAAAATGTTGGAAATTCTAAAAATAAAATTTTCATGTTTAACTGTTTGATTGAAGTTTTAAAATGYAGAATTACATTGAAAAAAGATAAAAACTTTGATAGATACATTATTTTAGGTAATAAATTCATTTTATTTTATTAAAATTAAAATAGGTAAAACATAAAATATATTATAAATTATATCATTTTGTAAAATAATAATTATATAAAATTTATAACATTTATGTTAATAAATTAATTAACAATATTTTAGATTTAACTAAATGTTTAGTTGGTAACTACCACTACTTTACAAATATATTACTAAACATACACATTCAACAATTTCTAAATCGAGATTCAATTTCCAAATCTGGTACCAAACACATATTTGAAAATACTGAAAACAACAATGAAATAAAACTTTGATTTTCGTTGAATCCCTTAATTTCAAATTTATGTTTTTAGATCGCTAACCCCATGCACCCTAAATGTTTAGGGCTGTATCTATTTAGTTTTTTACTTTCAAAAAGTTTAAATGCTTTTAATTATATATTTAATAGATGTCCCTCGTAACTTTGAATAAGTTTAGAGTACATGTTTACAATTCATTCATTTATTTTGTAATATTACATTTGTAAATGAGAGATTGGAATTTGAACCGATCTTTTTCTATAGGTTGAACTAGGGTTAATTAAGAGGGAATTAGTTCAAATCCCATGATGACCACCTACTTTGGGAATTAGTAATTTATTTGTGTTTCTAGGACACTCACAAATATAAAAAAAATTGAAAATATATGTCTTAATTAGTTGAGATATGTTCAAGCCGATCAATTTGAATCACCCAATAGATGCCTAGGTGGCCTATATGACTAATAAAGAAACAATTTTATTTATATCTAAAAGGAAGAAACTTGACAGACAAGCCGTCTTAGCTCAGCTGGTAGAGCGCGTGGCTTTTAACCACGTGGTCGTGGGTTCGATTCCCATAGACGGCGAATTTATTATGTTTTCATTTTTATATAACCTTTTTAATTCTACCCATCAATTCTAAAAGGTAATTACCCATTCTACCCCTGGCGGGGCAAATCCGGTTAAAAAGGGGAAAAATTGATTTGTTTTGATTTTGTTATGAAATCGGGAGGGCCCCGTACGGCGCAGGCTTCACAGTAGCCTCCCAGTTTTCCTTTCCACAGAACCAGAAACCATTCTGCTTCCTTCCTCTTCAAGAAACCTACTCCATCTCTCTCTCTCTCTCTCGTCGTTGTTCGTTACCGTCGCCGGAAAATCAAAAAGCTTTAGCTCCATGGAAAAAGATCGGTACGACGTCAATGGTTTTACTATCTGAACTGAACTCAAATGTAGATTATATTGCATATTTGCCTCTCTGCTCTACTGCTTATTTCTCTCTGTGTGTTGACGCTCTGTTTGGTTGATTTCGATGTTACTGAATGATGGCGGAAGGATACTCTCGTA